TATGTCTCAAATTAGGTCTCTTCCAGGCCTTGCACATCTTGAAACCACGTACTGTACCAAACCACTCATTGTCATAGACCTCTCAGCATGTATTTAAGAAACATATTTAAGACAAATAGATTAATTATAAACATCCTTACCATACATGCAATAGTTAAATACTGTGGTGCAGGTGGCCTGCCGCTGCACGGCAGGAGGTGGAGGAAAGGAACCTTCGCAGGAGGAGATCCAGGCCTTTGCCGCTTGGTGACCGAGGGACGTCTTCCCCCCGGAGGGGCTGACGCCGATGCCGATGCCCCCGTTTGGACACAGCCCGACATAGTCGAGAGGCGGAGATGCCGCTGGTCACGATGCGCGCCTCTGCATTGGATTTCACACCACGACGTTGATTGGATTCACCCGCGATCCACGACCTTTCTGCTCGATGTCACTCCGACCCCCTCTGCCGAAGCCTCCGGCCCGGGCGACCTCGGAGACGAGAGGGGGTTTCCACGTTCTCGGGTCTTGGGCCCGGGGGCGGTCGGGGAACGTCTCGGCACCCGACCGGTGGGGGACGGTGTTCTGTTTTGCTTCAGACGATCCATGGGGGCAGTGTGGTTGACCGACCCGTTGGGGTCTCTCAGTCCTGGAGCTGTGGACCTGTGGACCTGTATCTCCATCAGTGTTTTTTCCATTTGGGCTGAAGACGAAGGCTGCCACAGGTTTTGCACTCTGGGACCGGGCCTGGCTGGTGGTCCATTCTTGGCGGGGCCCGAGGCCAAAGAGCTCCCTCCAGAGTTGATAGACGTCCTAAAGCGCCTTGGGATGAACTGAATTCGTTCGCGAGGGCAGGTGGTGGAGGGGAGTGGGGGACAGGGGCCATCCATTCAGAGGTTGGATCTTGGAATCATGACTTCTGCATAGACATTTCCTTACACCAGGTGCTTTCTCTGGTTCCACCCCACCAACACCCAACACTACCCCCACCACTAATAGGGCCCTGATTCCTCCTGCTCCGCTTTGGTTTCGAGGCAAAACACGGTTTGACATACTCGAATGATCCTTCAGGTTGTGGCGCAACCTGTGATGGCCGAGTTTTTTGGTGATTGTTTGACCCCTTACACTATGTGACATGGTTTAGACACTTTGTGATGGTCATCATGCTCATCATCCATCACGCAAGAAGAAGGTCTAACGATGCAGAGTGAACCACTTCCCTTGAGCGATCCCTCCACTGACCTTCGCAACTTTCCGCCCCCAACCCCGCCACTCAGGCGCGTGGTGGCGAAGGCTGAGGACGGCGGTGGCACATCCAGCGGCAGCGAGGTGAAGACCTCTGGAAAGAAGTGGGCGGCGATAGATAAATTCGGCACCAACCTCGGCCAGGGCAAACCGCGCGCGCGTGCGACGCCGGCGGCATGAGTGCGGGGTAATGGGTCGCAGGGTAATGGGTGATGCAAGGGTGTGTGTTTGCTCTTTTGTTGTGGAACAGGTGCTCCGTGTGTGCTCCTCCGATTTTCTTGACGGTCCACAACAATGGCAGAAATTCTGTGTTAGCAAGTATTAATTGAATCTCATTGGATCTCTTCTATGTATGCGACCTTCAGCAATGAAGCCCAATCAAGACCTCTCTGCGGTGCCCACTGAGGCAATTCTGACAAAGCCAGCGTGCCTTGGCCAGGGTGGGGGTGTTTCACAATGCTGGGCTCTAGGCGCATGTCATCAAGAAGCGGGGGTCTCCCCAACTCAGCAGCGTCATCATCAAAACCGGAGTCCTGACTTTTGCAATTATTTTTTGCATATTTTTGCCATTGGGGTACTGGAATACAGGAATCGTGTTATACCGAAAGGCCAGAGGCCAGGGGAAGATCACCAACTTTTTCGAAATGGCTTTTGGTGTCTGTGTGTGTGTGGGGCCGCCCTATCCTTGCTCCATGCCCACAAGTCATACCTAACTCATATATAACTCATAGCTGACTCATGACCCATAACGCATTGTCATAACCCATAGCCGATTCAGTCGAATTCAGTGATCCCACCGTTTTGCCCCCAGACGAAGTCCGTTTGAATGATCAGCGCCACCAAGTCTTTAAAGAAGAACCGAGAACGATGTCCTTTGAACGATCGCCCTACTCGTGTTGACCATGGGTCCACCGAACGGTTGGCCGGCATAGCCTCCGAGGAAATGCAACGTGCCATCTTCATTTGGGACGAGGAACGAAGAGACGTCTCGAGAAGTTCGGCATCCGCTGGAGTCCGGTGAACACACTGACGGTATCGGCATCGACTGGAGGCATCAGGAAAGGCATCAGGTCTCCGGGACGAATCGAGATGGAGACGAGATGCATCGGTTCAAAGCAGTGGGCTTCACGGACGAGTGACTAGGTCATCTGGGACTCCAGCTGTGACCATTTTTTTGGGGTGCCCCGTTCCGGCCCATGCGGTTCTTCCCAAGAACCGACCAGCCGAAAGACCCGAAAACCAGCCGAAAGACCGGGAGAAGGTGGAGAATCGGGCGCTGGAGAGAATCGGGTGCAGGACCAAGAGACAAAACGAGACATGCTGCAACCACCAAGAGACGTAGCTGCGGAGAAGAGGCCTTTCTCCCCCGGGTCAGCTGCACAATGTCAGTTGGGAACCCTCGTCAGCTTCTGTCGTACGTGTGACGGATGGAACCCTCGTCTGGCCTGGTGAGGAGACCTGCCAGAAGCACATTAAAGAGTTTCTGATGCTTGCACCAAAGGAACTGGGGGATGTTGTTTTTCTTACTTGACCCTCCTTCAACATCTCCAACAAGCTTGGAAGTCGGGAATATGTGCTTGTAGAGGAAAACATTCTTCCAACGGCGGACCCTGATGCACTTCCATGTTTGTGGAATAGAAGGTATCCGATGTGTCAAACGAGTGCTGCCACAATGGACCCTGGTGAACTTGCTACGATGAGAAGTCACAGTTATCATGAGCTATCGTGAGCTCTCATTGAGTTCTGAAGAAAGCAAGAACTCATCCCAAGCCAACTATCTAATTCAACTTACTTCAACAAAAGGCATCCGTTCAACGCACCAGAGGCATGGTGATCGAAGGAAAACCATGGGTGATCAGTTCCGCTCTGCGCGCCCGCGCGCTTGGGAAATCGGGTGCTTTCGGTCCTAGGAAGGACAAAGAGCCGCCTGAGAAGATGACAGGTGCCCAGCTGGTGATGGAGGACGGCCTGGTGATGGATGCGACACAGAAGGGAGAGGATCACATGAATTTTTGTCCAAGTACTGATCTCTCAAAATATAGGGGAGGAGACCTTTGGAACCGGCATGAACCGGCCATCCCGTGTTGCGGTGGGACTCCAAGAGAATCGAGAGTAGAGTAGAGAAGGGCTTTGGTCAGGATTTCCTCACACACCCAGGTGATGACAGTGCTGGTAGACAGAGACGCCGCATGACATTGACAGATGTGGCCACAAGGTGCTGCTTTGCTGATCCTGTCAAGTTCTGATGCTAGCTGCAGCTGGGCCATCCAACTGTGAGTGAGACTCACGTCCGCTAGGCAACTAGGCCTTCGTTCTCCGAACGGAAAAGACCTAGTCGCCTTCGGTAGATCTCGTTCAGTTCTCCCACTGCTCGTTCGGCACGTCGTCCGTCGGCGACGAGAGCGTGCAGTTCTGCAGTTCTCCGATGTGGAGAGTTCTCCCAGGACGTGGCCTGGAAGTCCAAGGAGGACCAGGAGAGGGACCGGGCAGGACGGATGGACTGGTGGACTCCCACCGGTAGATGTCAACTGGCCCAAGGGTTGTCTAAGGGTCTTGGGTCACGAAAACTGCGTGCAGTCAACGTATTCGTCCCACTACGGCCCCTTGGTTTCAAACAGGTACCTGAGCGGGTATGTACAGTGGATATGACTAAGCAATGTATGAAGATAATATATGATTCCTATTCGGAGAACACACATCAGTTCTGGTTGTCCAACATGCTTGCCTTCTCAAGGACCACAGGAAAACGGGGTTGGGGCCCGTTGCTTTTGGGCCATCCGGAGAACTGTGCACGTCAAGAGTCATCCGTCCTTCTGTTTGGAGCACCTGCCCATGTCAGTTGTGTCTTCCCATGTCGTTAGAAGGTATGGATCCATACCCGGCTGTTTAGGGATCTCTATATGTAGTCTATATATAGTGGACCATTTACATCTACGAGACTTGTTCTTAACCACGCCTTGGTCGACTTAACCACGACCAGTGTACCCTCACCACGCCGGTTGCCCCTAACCCCGACTCCTAGTTTCTAACCACAACCCCTGCGGACCCTAACCCGGAGAAGGGGTCAGGAAGCCGTCAGGCCTTGCAAAATAGAATTAACATGAATTACCGGATGCCGCTAAGGTTCATTTTGGTCAGCGGGAGGCCCTAGGCTCAACTCCAGCCACCTTGAAGCCGTCGATGGCTATAAAATGGAATTATTGAATTAGTGGATGCCGCTAAGTTCATGTTAGGGGCGCCCTGGTCGTGGTTAAGTCACAGCCCTCGTGGTTTATGTCCTTTCTTTCCCGTGGTAAAATTCTAGTCTCCTACATCTACAAAAAGATACCAAAAGCCATTCAGGAACCCAGTCTAGAGTGAGTACTGTATTTATTATTCACCAATTGGTTTGGATTGACTCACTTCTGCGAGTCAGCCAGAGGAGAAGTGGACTGGAGCCCTGGTGTATTGCGCCAAGGAGTGGCCACTCGACCGGGGAGCTGTCTCGGTCAAGGAAGCGAGGTGTTGGGGCCGGCTGATTGGGCGGTTTGGTGGAAGCGGTCTTGGGTGAGTGCTTTCCTCTTTACTTAGATCTGCTATCGCCTCCTATTTTCCACACACATCCTGCTTTTGGGAAGACTTGTTGCGTGGACTGACAAGTATGTTTTCCTTTTCAACGAATTGCCGAGCTAATTTGGGAGTGTTTTTAGATTTGTTTGCGGCAATCGTTTGAGAGTCCTTCCCTCCAAAACGGTTGGCCCAAAAGGAACATCCAGTACCGGGTGGTGAGTTCCAGCCCTTCCATCCCCTGCCGCAGCAGCCTCGCACTTCTCACTCCACCGGTCGCCCGTCCGAGGATGTGGAGTCAGGTGGATGCGGAGGTGCCCTTCGATCCAGTGGACCAGCAGATGTCCGACGAGGCCGACGGGCGACGGCTTGTCGGGGCACGGGGCCTTTGGACGCGGTGCGGACGTCCGGAGGGCTGCCGTTGGACCGGGATGTGGGTCCTTTTGCGAACAGAAGTTGGGAGACATCCTGAGAAGATGATGGAACATGGTGGTGTTCTTCCCTAGCAAGTCCTATACAACAGTGGCGGTTGAGAAGACATCCATTTCTTTCTGGCTGTCACTTGAGAATCGGTTCTTGCTTTCCTTCGCGCGCGTGAGAGATGTCAGCTCCACTGCGTGGAACCACCCCATCTGTGGTTGCACTCGCCGAGAGCTGGGCATCCGCCACCCGACGAGCCGTCGGTTCCCATCTTGTGAGGAGAAGAACGCGATCTTGAATCACTGCGTGTACTTGTGGGATGAGACGCCAGGTTTTTTTCGCAGTTCGTCGGGTCAACCGGTCAGTGCCCCCAATGGTATACGTAGATTCAGGTAGATTTAGATCAGGGTCTTTTGTATATACATTTGTCGTTAGCGTTGTGAACATAGGGTCCCGATCTTGTTGGGATCTAGTATTGACCAAAGAAAGGTGTAGGCAGTGCAGGATCTTTTTAAAGTCCACCTAAGGAGAACAACTAGGAAATCTGCTACAATTCATCCTGACGTTTCGTTCACTTTATGAATGAGATGATGTAATATGCTATGAATGGATTTGAGAACCGGTGCTCTTTGATTCCTGCGTTGGTCAATACGCCACATCATCAAAGGAAGGCGGCCGATGCCTTTCTTGAGAAGCTCAAATACAAAAAGCTTGGCCACTCGCCGTCCAGGGGCGGTGGTGGGGTTGTGTGACGTGGGGCGAAGGTGAGACATGTCAATGTGTCTACCGCAGGTTTGGGTCTATTGCCCAAGAGTTCACTGATGTTCCCCAAACAGTCTACTGTTCTGAACCCTGTGTCCGGGTATTGTCCTCTTGTTGTCCTGCTCTTGTACTCCTGCTGTCCTCTGGCCGCTGGTGGCCGCGCTTTCGAAACCTGTGTCCTCCTCTTGTCCTCCTGCTGGTGATGATAGCGGTGGCCGCGCTGTGCACCCTGCCTTCTTTGCCTTGTCCAGGCCTTGTCCAGGTCTGTGTGTCCCAATTGGCCGCGGGCCGGGCCTTTCTTCTCCAGGCCGTGTCAGGGTCTGTCTGTCCTAGCAACAAGTGCATCGCTAGTAGTAACAAGTGCCTTACTAGTAGTAACCATTTTTTGTTTTGCCGTTCCCAAGAGCTGGAGGCTATAGGAACACAATTACTCACGTTACCACCAACAATAGAATTCAAGGAGTTGATGCAACCAAACTGAAGCTGTTTGGGGTCTATGCTGGCATAATTTTTTCACTCTTGGGAAACAGGAGCTGGCCACAGAGGCTGCCCGCGCTGTGTCTGGGTCTTGTCCTCCTGTCATCCTGGTGCTTGCATTTGTCCTGCTGTTGTCCTCTGGCCGCGTTGGCCAACCCTGTGTCCTCCTTTTGTCCTCCTGGTGCAGTGCTTGCAGTTCGACTGTTGTCCTCTGGCCGCGCTGGCCAACCCTGTGTCCTCTTGTCCTTCTTTTGTCCTCCGAGTGCTTGCAATTGTCCTGCTGTTGTCCTCTGGCCGCGCTGGCCAACCCTGTGTCCTTCAGGGCACCTTTTAAAAGCGAAAGTCATATTGTAATAGCGAAATCCAGATTTTAATTGCGAGCGGGAATCTTGTAATTGCGAAACAACACGCTGATTGCCACCGCATGGCTGAGTCAACGTGGCTCAACATGGCGCAGCTGGGTCTCTGCCAACACGCACAGTGGGTGGGACCTCGCGATTGAACTCATTGCCCAACTGTTTCCACCACAAAGGCCCCTTGAGAGCCTTTGCTTTGTGGCAGCAGAGCAAAAACTTTTTGCCGCTTCACATCCTTAAGACACCGGTAGCTGCAAAGACCACCCTCAAAGTGATTTCGGCATGCCAAAGCAATTTTGGAGGGGTCTTTGCAGCTTCACACCCTCAAGGCACCCGTAGTGGCAACGACCCCCCTCAAAGTGATTTCGGGGAGCTTAAAAACACGTTTGAAGGGGTCTTTAAGTCTTGTCCAGGTCTGCCTGTCCTGCTGGTGAGCGTTTTTGGCCCTTTTACCACCCCCTTGTCCAGACCTTGCCCCGTGCTTGGCCACGCTGCTTGCCCTTTCTCCACCGCCTTGTCCGGGTATGTTTTCGCGTGGCTATGAATGCGTGCAGCATTTCAAACTTGATATCAATCATCCTCGGATTTTATCATGACACATATCCCTTCGTATTTTGCACATTGTGACCCGAGAATGAGGAACTATTGTTTTCCAACAATATCATTCCCAAACAGCTGGAAGCTATAGGCTATAGGATCAAAATTACCGACGTCACCACATGAGGTAGTTTGACCCGCCAGAGGTTGGATTTGTCACTTTCACGACGTCAACTGAGACCCTCTGAAATGGAGAACCCCTACTGGCTCGCCACGTCTTTGAAAGAATACGTGAGGATGGCATGCCTCTACTGGGTTTCGTGAAACATGTCTTCCGACCAATCAGTCGGGGCAGCTGACCTCAAGGGGCTTCGTCGCGGAGCCCTAGGCCTGACAGGGAAAAAGCTGATGGACCACCAAGAACGCCTTGGCGTGACCTGGCCCTTTCAAACTCGCTGGGCATTACCTCGTGCGCGATGGATCGGTTGCCTGAGGTGGGTGGGAGTAGTTGGTGTGGATGATGCCCTTCGCTGTGGAGTCATGCAAGCACTGAACGGCTATATACATAGCGAGGTTGCAAAAGCGCTGCAAACAAGAAGCGGGGTCGCCCAATTGAAAAACACGGTTGAACACCCCACAAACCTACAGTGACCACAAAGGTCTTCCCAGAATGGTCGCCAGACTCCGATCGGCTCGCCTAACTCTGTGGTTTTCTGGTGTTCTTGGCCCAGGCATTGTCGATGGATGACTCAGACAAGGTTCTGGTGCAGTTGGCCAACGAGGCGGTGCTCTTCATGAAGGACATCGCCCTTCCGCTGCAAGGAAGTGGAACGAACGCGGAGGAAGGACAGCGCCCGGGTGACCGGCCCCTTGAACGGGGACCGCTGGATCGTGAACGGAACCTGGCCCACCAAGCCACGTGAATTGGAGTTGTTGTTTTTTTGTTTATTGTCATGTCGAGAGAGGTCCATATTCTCCGTGCTTCTCCACATGCGATGCTCAACAAGGGTTCAAATCAACCAATTTGTCCCACTAAAACTCGAGTGCCGGTTTGACCGCGCGATGTGAATCAATGAAGAGCCATCGTATGCGCCATGGACCTGCCAACATCCATGCTCTGGGTATTTGGGTGAACTACACAACCCGTGATATCGTCTTGTGGCAAGACTTTGTGCACCACACTCACTTCCAAGCCGACTTGGCACCTGGGATGCTATGACATCACTGCTGATGCCTCGATGTCATAGCTGCCCGGTCGTCAGACTGAGCTGCGATGTCTCTCAATGTCTTGGGGTTTGTCTGACTTGGTCTTGGGACATGTCCACCCTTTCCAAATGCTTTGGCTCTTCAAAGGTCGCTTGTGGCCCCTGTGGACCTTGTCGTTTCTGTAGAGAGAAGACCATAGACCATAGGATCCTTATGATACTATATACATAGTCTATAGGATGCCATTAGTTTAATGGTTCTTGCCAAACAACCGCACAAGTCCGAAAGTCACTGACCTAGCAAAGCGAGATGCAGTGCTATGAAGGAGCGACCGAAGGGAAAGTGACCAAACGCTACAACTAACCAAGGTCCGCACCAATTTTGAATTAAGCCACCGACGTAACGACATTCCTGCCAAGCTACCATTGTTTTGTATACTAGGTCAACCATTTTTTTTAATGTCTCGGAAGGCACTTGCCGCCCACGCAAGAAACTGTTTGAGCCTAGACGTTTTGGAGAACCCGCTCACAGATTTGGGGGGCCCTTTCAGGTGAAATTTGTCGTGGAAGACAAAGCTTGGCACGACCGGTTCGACCGCTAGGCCCTGACGATCGTCTGGTCGTGTCCAAGTTTTGCTCTCTTGTTGGGGGTGGTTTGGAAACGGATTTGAGATTTGCAAGCTCCGCTTTGGAATCGGGTCTGTAAGTGTATCAACCAATGGTCCGTTCCACCGATTCGATTTGGGGATTCATGGGGTTCCGCGGTCGGGGGGACTTGACGGTGGACGTAAGTTGACTTCGTATAGGACATGCGATGCATGGGGAATGAGTGCAAGTCCCGTGGAACCCAGTTGCGTGAGATTTCCTGGTCAAGCATTCCCGGCCTAGTCAAAGGCGGCCAGTGCAGGGGTTGGAAGCTTATTGCAAGAAGAACTTCTATCATGCCTGGACAAAGTAAGGCATGGTATCTCGAGGACCATTTTTTTTCCGAAAGGATCTCAACAAAGACATGTGCACAGTATCACTTGGATCTCAAGGTGCCCAACAAAACAGCATCTATTCATATTGGACAAGGAACTATCAAGTTGTCAATGAGGCTGTCTACCTGTTCGACCGACCAACATTTGAAGTATATCAGATCATAGCTTCATAGCACTTGCTTTTTTGACCCCACCCGACATTCCAGTCCAAAGAGCATCATCATCATCATCATCATCATCATCATCATCATCATCCTCATCCTCATCCTCATCCTCATCCTCATCCTCATCCTCATCCTCATCCTCATCCTCATCCTCATCCTCATCCTCATCCTCATCCTCATCCTC